AGGCCCAATCCCTAAGTGCAGCCCCTGGTCAGGCTCAGAGCAGGGCCGATTGGGGAGTCGGGGCACCGCCCCGTCATGCACAGAGCAGGGCGGATCGGGAGGTTGCGATGCCACCCTCAGTCACGCTCAGGGTAGGGCCGATTGGGGGGTTGGGGCACCGCCCCCTGTCACACTCAAGGCAGGGTCGATGGGGAGGTTGCGGCGCCACCCCCTGTCATGCACAGAGCAGGGCCAATCAGTGGGTTGGGTGCTGTCCCCTGTCATGCACAGAGCAGGGCCAATCAGGGGGTTGGGGCGCTGCCCCCTGTTACTCACAGAGCAGGGCCAATCAGGGGGTTGGGCGCTGTCCCCTGTCATGCACAGAGCAGGGCCAATCAGGGGGTTGGGGTGCTGCCCCCTGTCACTCACAGAGCAGGGCCCATCAGGGGGTTGGGGCGCTGCCCCCTGTCACTCACAGAGCAGGGCCCATCAGGGGGGTTGGGGGTCTGTACCCTGTCACTCACAGAGCAGGGTCAATCAGGGGGTTGGGGAGCTCCCCCCTGTCATGCACAGAGCAGTGCCGATCAGGGGGTTGAGGAGCTACCCTGTCAAACACAGAGCCACAGGGCAATCAGGGGATTGGGGAGCTCCCCCCTATCAGGCACAGAGCAGGGCTGATCAGGGGGTTGGGGCGCCTTCCCCTGTCATGAACAGAGCAGGGCAGATAGGGAGGTTGTGGCCCTGCCCCCTGTCACACACAGAGCCGCAGGGCGATCAGGGGGTTTGGGCGCTGCCCCCTGTCATGCTGATCCCGGTGCTGAGAGGCATATTACCCTTTTACTATATAGGATAGAGGCCTGGTGCATGGGTGGGGGCCGGCTGGTTTGCCCTGAAGGGTGTCCTGGATCAGGGTGGGGGTCCCCACTGGGGTGCCTGGCCAGTCTGGGTGAGGGGCTGAGGGCTATTTTCCTGAAGCGAGTGACTGAAGCTTCCAACCGCTCCTTGTTTTCTTTTTTCTTTTTTTTTTTTTTTTATTCTGGGCCAGCTTTAGCTCTGAGGCCTCGCTGCTGAAAACATCGATACAAAGTTTCAGTCCGCTGGCTTTCAGTCAACTGGTTTCTGGTGTTTTGTTTAGCTTCTTATTTGCAACATAGTACATAGTTGTTTAGAGTTGCAGCTGAGAGGCCGGAAAGTGAGGTGGGGAATGTTGGAGTCTGCAGCAAGCAAGCCTCATGCTCGCTTCAGTGCCTGGCTGCCGGCCGCCATCTTGGCTGACAGTAAATTTGCATATACTCACTGATTAGCCAATGAAAAGGGTAGCGGTCGTACGCTAATTACCATGTTTCTCTTTTATTAGTGTAGATAAGATCATTTTTCTTGAACAGTTGGTGTTTATTGCATGTAACATTATCATATATATAAAGTCATTTTTCTTGAGATATTAATTTTTATTGCATATAACATGATCATATTTAAGATAGTTTTTCTTGAAATATTAAGGTTTATTGCATGTAACATTATATTTAAAATCATTTTTCTTGAAATTAAAAAAAAAAACTGGAAAAAAAATAAGAACGTGGAGAGAATCTGGGAAGAATGTCTCCAAACTCTGCTTGGCCCTCTTTGAGGAGTCTTGCAGAAGGCAGGAGGCACCAGGAGACCAGCAAAGTTTGAACATAATCTTTAAATATGGAAAAAGAGGTAGCTTCCAAGACCAACAGACCTGGACCTTGATAAACCCTTTGAAACGATTACTACATGCATAACTTATAAGCTTTTAGTAGAGGAAATGGTATCATTTCCTTCAATAATAAGATCACCAGACTGGAGGATCAGTGGCATGTTATTCTCTGGATTGAAACATGAACCTTAATGAAGACTCTCATAGCCTTAAGTTCAAGAGGGAAAAATGTCATCCATATGCTAACCTGGTTAAATGGTGTCCTGGAATGAACGTTTTCTCCCAAACCCTAACCCCAGTGGAGCTGGATGGAGCCTTCTGGGAGGTGATTAGATTTAGATAATGAAGTCAGAAGGGTGGGGCCCTCATGATGAGATTAGTGCCCTTCTGAGAAGGGGAAGAGACATCAGAGCTCCCTCTCTCCTCCACGTAAGGACAGAGAAGGCTCTCACCAGAACCCAACTAGAGTGGCACCCTGATCTTGGACTTCTAGTCTCCAGAATTGTGAGAAAACAAAATTTCTGTTTTAGAAAAAAAAAAGAATGGGGGAAGGACCCAGACAGAACAATGCGGTCCTATAGCGTCCTGCCCCTGCTGTCCACCAATGGATGTATGGAACAGTTGTGGCTCTATCTGGCTCACACTGACTTCATTCTGTAGTCCCAGGGGGTGAGGGCATTGATCTGAGGGGTGTAGCCTCAGGTCCTCCGAGAGTGGAATCCCGGTACCAGTCAGGTGAAAAAGGTGATGAATTTTTAGGGAAGAATGAGTAAATTACCAATAATCAAACAGAGGAGGGGCCACAAAGTTCTGCCCCCTCCTCTTGATCTGGGAGGTCCAGGCACAGTTGTCAAGTTGAGGAGACCCCTCATTTCCACCTGTAGGGTTTCAGGGAGAGGAGAGCCTTGGTCTAGTGGGTGTGGGCCCCGATTCTTCAGAATGAGGGGAACCAGTGACATGAAGGAACTCCACCAGCAGAGAGGTTCACACATTCCCTATGCTCTGTGATTAGTCTAAGACAAACAGAGCACTCAGCTCAGGGGCTCATTTCTGCCTAGAGAGTCTTAGTAGTCGAGGGCCTGAGTAGAAAGAGACCAACCCAGTTATGCAGAGGGAGGAGTTCGAGCCCTAACTGGCTTTCAGGTGGGGACTCATAATACTAAAGAGAAGACCTCTCAGCTAAAGAGTAGGCGGCTCAAAGTTCGGCCCCTGCTATCAGGCGTGGGAGGCTGATGCAGGAGTAGTCAGATATGATGAGCCCTGTCTTTTCCTTCTAGGGACTCAGAGAGGGTGTGAGATCGGTGTAGGGACTCAGAGAGGGTGTGAGATCGGTGAACTCCAGTCAGTGGAGAGAGGACTCCCAGGCTTGGATTGTTACCTTTGAGATTCCTAGCAACCTTAACCGGATGTGACTCGCTGACTTCCGCCTTAACCGGATGTGACTCGCTGACTTTGCCTTAACCGGATGTGACTCGCTGACTTCGCCTTAACCGGATGTGACTCGCTGACTTCCGCCTTAACCGGATGTGGCTCGCTGACTTCCGCCTTGACCGGATTTGGCTCGCTGACTTCCGCCTTGGAAATTTCCCGAAGCCCAGGAACTTGCTCTGACGGACATAACCCCTGGTTGGTGGAGTGGTATTCAAGGACTGGTCAGTATCAAGATAAGGACCCTGAATGTGAACTGAAGTGACCATCCTGCCCGTCACCAAGGAGCTCCACAAAACCCTGCCGTACCCTTAGTAGTGGGAGGCCCCAGCACAATTATTGCGCTTACTTCTGTGGGGACGGCATCATGGCGGGGAGGGCTTTAATCTAACTGGGGCGGCTACAGTTCTGAAGAAAGAAACCAGGACTCCAGGTGGGGGGACCCTGAAGTGCTAAGGAGGGTCCCTCTCCTCCAAAAGAAGGGGTGACCAGGACTGGGAGTAACAGGCAGGGATCGCCAAATGTAGTGTTCCCGTACTCCTTCTCTAGTGACTAAAAGAAGTGACTTCCAGTTTGAGGCTGACGAACCCAGATCAATAGAAGGAGGAGTCCCACGCTTTGTCACATGTCAGTGGGGTCCCAAACAGCCTCGCCACTGCTGCTAGAACTTGCAGACCCTATACAGCCTCGGCAGTTAGCCCTTGGAGGTCCTGTGCAGTCTTGGCCAGGATCTGACTTTCTCGCCCAGAAGGTGAGGATCTTGGTCTGTGGGGCACAAACTCCAGTCAGTTGACGGTAGACTTCTAGGACTAAAGTATAATGGGGGAGACTCCGAATATGAGCTGACACATAACCACACAGGGCTCCCCTCTTTCCAGCTCTGAGAAATCCCAGCAGAGCTGTGGGACTGACTTGTGCTTGTAAGTTTCCAGCCTGAGGTGCACTCTAACACCTCCATAAGGTCCTCAGGAGACAGGCTGGCCAGGAGAACAGGAGCCCTGTGGGGTCCTATAAAACAGTGACATAGAGGATACCTACAGAGGGGCATTTTTTCTTTTTTAAAAAAAAACAAAACACGTTTTTATTGATTTCAGAGAGGAAGGGAGAGGGAGAGAGAGAGAAACATCAATGATGAGAGAGAATCATTGATTGGCTGCTTCCTGCACGCCCCACACTGGGGATCAGCCTGCAACCAGGAATGTGCCCTTGACCAGAATCAACCAGGGACCCTTCAGTCCACAGGCCAAAGCTCTATCCACCGAACCTAACAAGCTAGGGGCCATTCTTCTTTTTTTTAGTGGTCTTTTGCTGTTTTTATACTTAATTTTCTGTAAATTATACACATCACCTAGGTAATTCTCTGTTGCTCTTTTCAATTCTTAGATGACTCCATCATTTGCCCAGTTTTCCCAAATGTCATCTTGAGTTCCCCTCTCCCCCTAATGATCTCAAAGTCCTACCCCCCAGGAGAAATGCCACTGCCAATCCTCTTTGCTGGTCAAAAATTGTCCCTTGCCTGAATTATAATGATAGTCACCTGATTCATTTTCCTAATTCTCTAATCTTTATAGAATGTCCTCAAAATTTCTTCTGGTTCTCAAGTATCCTTAGAGCTTAGAGCAAAATCAAAATTCCTTAATATAATTTACCAAAAAACCCTTGTGGTTTGGCCCCCAGTGACCCCTCCAGCCTCATGTCTCTTCCTGCCTCACTCACTATGTTCCCACTAGAGAGAGCTTTCAGTTCCTTCCTTACCACACCTTTCCACAGGCTATTCCAGAGGGGCATTCTTAAAGCCACCATGACATCTCCCTGTGGAAGGTACTCACACCCTCTTATCCTCCTCCTCCTCCAGGTGATTGTGTGACGTAACTGCCTGTCACGCCCCTGCCTTCTGTCCCTAACCACAGCCATGCCTCGTGGTAAGAAAAGTAAGCTTCGTGCCCGTGAGAAACGCCACCACCAGGCCCAAAGTGAAGACCAGGGTCACAGGATTGCTCACACCACCACCGCAGGGGAAGAAGAGTCTCCCTCGTCCCCCTCACTTACGTTGGAGGGTAGTCCTCCCAGCTCCCCTGCTGCAGGCACTCCCCAGCAGTCTCAGAGAGGCCTGGCCTCCAATTCTGCTGCAACCATTTCCTGTGAGAGTTCTGGTGAAGGTGCCAAGAGCCAAAGGAAGGAAAGACCAAGTTCCTCCCAGGCCCCGCCCTCCTCAGAGAGCTCTAGGGAAGATCTTCTGGCCAATAAAGTAAGCATGTTAGTGAAGGCTCTATTGTACAAGTATGAAATGAAAGAGCCCATTACAAAAGAAGAAATGCTGAAGGTTATCAACAAGAGGTACAAGGCGCACTTTCCTGAAATCCTCCAGAGAGCCTCTGAGCGCTTGGAGCTGACCTTTGGCCTCGACCTGAAAGAAGTTGACCCCAGTCGTCACTGTTATATCCTTGTCAGCCAACTGGATCTTCACAACGAAGAGAGTCGGAGTGATGGCGGCATGGTCCTTCCCAAAAATGGCCTCCTGATGCCTCTCTTGGGCATGATCTTCTTGAATGGCAATCATGCCACTGAAGAAGAGGTGTGGGAATTCCTGAATATGATGGGCGTCTATGCTGAGAGGAGGCACTTCATCTTTGGGGAGCCCAGGAAGCTCATCACCATAGATTTGGTGCAGCAAAAGTTCCTGGAGTACCGTCAGGTGCCCCACAGTGATCCTCCACGCTACGAATTCCTGTGGGGCCCAAAAGCCTACGCTGAAACCAGCAAGATGAAAGTCTTAGAGTTTTGGGCTAAAATCAATAATATACTCCCCACCAGCTTCCAGACCCAGTATAAGGAGGCTTTGAGAGATGAGGAAGAGAGAGCCCGAGTCAGAGCAGCAGCCAGGGCCCACTCCAGAGCCATGACCAGCAGCTCCTGCCAGCAGCGCTAGTGAAGTCTGAGGCAGAGTCTTCACCTTGAAGTTGAGAAGGGCTGTCAATCTTCTAAGTAGTGGGGGCAAGGTGGAGCTCGAGAGAGCACAATGTATCTCTTCTTTGTGTTCTGTTTTCATAAGTAACTTACAGATTCACCTTTCCTTGTTTTTCCAATGTGTTCCCTTTAAAAAGGCTTATTTAGACTCATAATCTAAGATTAGAATAATATGGCTCACACATTTATTCCTGTTTGAGAGTAATAGTTTTGTATTTTGAAAAACCCTTGCTTCTTGTATTGTGACTCAGTACCAGAACACAGAGCATTGGATAGGAATTTTCTTTAAAAAAATGTGAAAGAACCCCACAGTTAAATAGTTGGGATAATGAGATAGTGAAAAATAAAAGTAAAAGGTGATTAATTCATTTTCCTCATTCTTTCTTTTGGTGAAATTAAAAGATACATATACCTGTACTGCTTAACTTATTCAAGAGTGTGGGAGAAATTAAATCATCATAAATTAGAAATCTTGTGCACTGTCTCTTTTGTTCCCCAAACATGTCTGCTCTTTGGAAGGTGTCATGCTAGTTTTGGGGATATGTGGACAAAGAAGACTTAGTCCATGCCAATAACATTATAGAGCCCAGGGGGATCTGTCATGTAAGGAGCATGATGTGAGCCACACTCAGCCTTGAAGGACAATAAGCAGAAGGGATAAGGAGGGGGGAGGTTCCAGACAAGAGCAGTCCAGCATAAATGCCCCAATACAAGGCAGCTGGGAAGGTAGGAAACTGCCAGTCCTCCATGGGGGGAATTTTAAGTTTGGCTGCACCAGCGGTTAGATGAGGTTATTAAAATGGTGAGCAGGGCCAGGCTCTCAGATCTCTCATATGGTGGGCCTGAGTCTAGAGCAGAAACTTTTTGACTCGAGGGCCACAATGGGTTTTTAAACTGGACCGGAGGGCCGGAACAAAAGCATGGATGGAGTGTTTGTGTGAACTAATATAAATTCAAAGTAAACATCATTACATAAAAGGGTACAGTCTTTTTTTTTTTTAGTTTTATTCATTTCAAACGGGCCGGATCCGGCCCACGGGCCGTAGTTTGCCCACGGCTGGTCTAGAAACTATGCCTGTACTGGAACACTGCTCTTCACAGTTCCTCACAGACGTGGTGAACCCAAGAGAAATCCTCACTCACCTGGGGCAGGATTGGAAGGACTCCTGTGCTCTGTTCCCATGCAGGTGGACACAGTGCACTAACTGTGTTTTGTGTATTTTGTGTCCAGAGTTTCTGAAAATAAGGGTGATATTCAGCAATCACTGGGTTGGCCCACTTTGTCCGGGCCTGGGAGTTGGGGGGGGGGGAGAGGGGGACCTAGACCATTCCATTAAAAGGGAACCCAAGTATGGCACTCTTCTATGTGATATGGCAAACTCTAAGTGAGGTCTAGATCTTTGGTGGTGGTGGAATGAATGAAAATGGAGATGGGTTAAATGCAAGGGCAGCTATGGGGGAGGAAGATTGTTGGTCCTTTGCATACCTTTAGCAGCTTCACAGTGCACTTAACTGAGGAAGTCTACCTCATGCCCACATCAAATGACTGGTCATAATAGGGAAATATTAATTAGTTTTATTTACTAAGCAGCTGATTTGGGGTTATTTTTAGTCTTAGAATATTGCATAGTCTCTGACCCATCCTCAATTAGAAAAAAGAAAATTCCAGTGTGGTACGTGATGTCAAAATAATTGTGGTAATAACTACCATATATTTTTTTTAAATTTCAATACCTGCCAGACACTGTGCTGTTCGCAACATGCATTCCATATACCCACAAGTCCTAAAAGTCAGGACCTAGCAAATTTGCTTCACGCATGAAGAACCTGAAGGTCATGGACTCTGCTAATGTGCCTGAGTTCACATGGCTGGTAAGTGGCAGAGCCAGTACTAAACCTGTGGTCTGTATTCACTTAGAGCCCACACTACCCCACTCCTCTCAGCCTAACGCAGATACTGTATGTCATAATTCATATGTCCTTTTACTACTTGGGATGTTTCTCAGGCAATAAAAAGAGGGCTCTGCACTAACTACTTGTTTGGACTACACAGCCAGAACAATAAAAATAGCAAAATAAATGGGTAGTATAAAGAAAGAAAGAGAAAAATATTTGATGACAGTACTTGTCACCTACATATGCAATGTCAGATCACCTGAAAAGATAGGGACTCACAAAATCATGGGTCTCCACTTCTGCCCTGTAGAAAAATCAATCTATTAGAACCAAAGTTCTATACAAGGCTAAATCTGGTTGGTGAAGAGAAGGAAGAGATCACTTTTTCTCTTGCTCTGAACTATAGTTTCCCCCATCTGGCATCATTCCTGTGACACCGATTCTATCTGCAAGGTTTTTAGCAGGAAAACTTCTTGAGTTTGCAATAATATAACATTTCCCAGGAAGCCTCGAATGTAAGCAGGAGCCAAAAAGTGGATCCCTATGTAGGAGGACTGGTGAAATCAATACCCTAGAATATAGATGGTTTCAAGAGACTAACCCACAACTGCCCTCAGACCTGTAGGGCTCCAGGTAGGACTGATCATCCATTTGTTCTTCAGGGTTCTCAGGAACAGAACCTTGTTCTAAGAAGGTTGACTTCATGTCAATAAAGGGAGGAGTGTGAGCCTCTGATAGACTTCAAAGGGAGTATCTGGAATGAGGGAAGAACCCAGCCAGAACAATGGGGTCCTATAGAGTCCTGCCCTGGTGTCCACTCTTGCAGATTTGGAACAGTTGTGGATGGCCCTGTCTTCCAAGTTGGTGGTCCCAGGAAGGTGAGGATCTTGATCTAAGGGGAGCAGCTGAGAGTGGCATCCCAAGATTGAGTCTGGCACTAAAATGCTCAGGTGTCAAGGTGAGAATGGTGAATGAATGAGAAAACCACTCACTCCAAAACATAGCAGGATTCACAAATCTCCACACATACCCTCACCCCCACTGGTAACTTGGGAAGCCCAGAGGAGAGTTGTCAGGTCGAGGAGCACCCTCATTTCCACCTGGAGCATCACAGGGAGAGGAGAGCTTTGGTCTAATTGGGGTGGCCCCAGTTCTGCAGAGGTGGAGACCCAGGAACTAACAGAAGTCAAGGCTAGGACTCTGACTGACATGAGGGGACCCCCACCAGCAGAGAGGTTTTTACAAAGCCTCACGTGTTCTTACTCCTAGAATGTCCAGGGCAGAGCCCTCAGCTCAGGAGCCATTCACTTTTGCCTGGAGAGTCACAGGGACAGTAGGCCTTGTGTAGAGGTGGCCAAGTCCCAAAGAGGGAGGAGTTTTGGCCCTAATTGGTGTCCGAGTGAGGGCTCTGAGTACTAAAGAGATGACCTTTCCATTAAAAAATAAATAAAGTGGCCCGAGCCAGTTTGGCTCAGTGGATAGAACATTGGCCTGCAGACCAAAGGGTCCCAGGTTTGATTCTGGTCAAGGGCACGTACCTCGGTTGCAGGCTCCTCCTCAGCCTGGGCCCTGGTCGGGGCTCGTGCAGGAGACAACCAATCAATGTGTTTCTCTCACATCGATGTTTCTCTCACATCGATGTTTCTCTCTGTCTTTCCCTCTCTCTTTCACTCTCTCTAAAAATCAATGGAAAAATATCCTCAGGTGAGGATTAAATTAATTAATTGATTAATTAAAAATAAAGTAGTGATACATACTACAACATGGAAAAACCTTGAAAACATACTAAATGGAAGAAGCCAGACAGAAAATGCCACATATTTTAAGCTTCTGATTATATAAATGTCTAGAATCCTAGCTAGAAACAGGATTTCTTTTTTCGAGTTTTAAAATTTTTCTGGAATTAGGTAATGATGATGATAAAGATAATGAATGCAAAACAATGTGAATATACCAATAATCAATTAATTGTACAGTTTAAAACAATTAATATGTTGACTTTCATGTTATTTGTATTTTATCTCAATTTAAAATGTCTCTCTAAAAAAATAGAGATGACTTTTCCCCAAATAGGAAGTCTGAGGCAGGGGTAGCCATCCTAGGGACTCTGGGAGGTGAGGACCTTAGTGTGAAGCTGATGAACCCAGACGAGTAGAGGGAGGAGTCCCAGGCTTTGATCCATATCAGTGGGGTCCCAAGCAGTCCATCCCCTGCTGTCAGCCCTAGGAGGCCCCTATAACCCTCAGAGGCCCCTACAGCCTTAGACACTCACCTTGACTTTCTCTTTGGGGAATCCAGAAGGTGGGAACTTGGTCTGAGGGCAAGCATTCAAAGAAAGTGGAGAGTGAAGTTCCAGGTCTGGTCAGGTGTCTAGATAAGGACACTTAATGTGGACTGAAGAGATCACTCTACCCATCACCAAGAGGACTGCCCAGTGCCACACCCTTTCTCAGCCCTGGGAGAGTGGACAGAGCTGTGACCTGACTTGTGCCCAGAAGGTCTCATGAAGGGGAGGGCCTTGGTCTAAGGGAGTGGTCCCAATTCTGCCAAGAGAGGAGACCTGGGTCCTAACTGGAGCCCAGGTGAAGAACCTGAGTGCTAACCAGGGGGCCTGTCTCCAAAAGGGGGAGGGGCGTCCAGAGCCCAACCCCTATTGTCAGTCCCAGGAGCAAGCAAGGGTAGCCAGATGTGGTGCACCCCAAACTCTCCCCCTGTGGAGGCAGGGAGGTAAGGGTCTTGTTCGAAGACTAGTGAACTCACTTCAGTAGGGTAGTCCCAGTGGACCCAGGACAGAGAGCGCCCCCTCTGAACTGTCAGCCCTGGGTGGCCTCAGGCAGGGGTGGTGGAGTGAGGTGGCCCTTCTCTTTCTCTTAGGGCAGTGATGGCGAACCTTTTGAGCTCGGCGTGTCAGCATTTTGAAAAACCCTAACTTAACTCTGGTGCCGTGTCACATATAGAAATGTTTTGATATTTGCAACCATAGTAAAACAAAGATTTATATTTTTGATATTTATTTTATATATTTAAATGCCATTTAACCAAGAAAAATCAACCAAAAAAATGAGT